GTTGGAGCAGTTGGGCTTTTTCATACAATTTTACCTTAAGAATCATATACAGGAACATGAGAACATTTTGGGACCTCTCAGGTCAATAACCTGAACAACATCGCTCCATATTGAGAGACGTCTGAAGATTAGCAGTGCTTGGGGAGGAATACCGAAAGTACTTGGCTATATCAGTATCCCTTTCTTGTTTCCCTATCATCACGGGGTGGGAGGGTTCGAGCTGCTTTCCACCTCCTGTGCTCATGACACACAGCCTCCCACTGAGCCCTTCTCTTGTGCTGGGAAGGGTGATGCCTGGCCCCTTACCCATGTGCAGCCACCTCTGCAGGGAAGACTATGAGTTGAAGGAGCAAATGCATCCCCAAAACATGACGTTAGAAAATGTAAAGCTCCCTGAAACTTGTAGTTTTGGCTCAGACCTTGGTTTCCTCCTGCTGCTGGTGTAGGGTTGTGATTAGCGGAGCTAGGGAGCTAAGCTGTGCTGTGGGGAGACAGCTCACAACAGATGAAGCAAAACACCTCCCTCTGTGCTGCGTTTCTGCCCTAAAAATCACCCCAACTCTGTGCTCCAGGGCACATCTGCTACTACCAGCATGGAGAGCAGGAGCAAGTGAGACCAGCTCGTGCCAGGCTGCCTAAATAATGAAGGAAATACCACTTCAGGACAGATTTATTTCAGATCTGGCTGCAGAGGAGGCTCTGGATTGCTCTGCAAGAGTGGGAGGGTTTGTTTTCTGCTTCTGCTTTGCTGAGTCAAACAGAGAGTAAGGCAGTTCAGATCTGGAGAGGCTCAGTTCCTGTCATTTCTAGTGTGGAAACAGTGCTGCTACTGTTTTTGTTCCTTCCTACAGAGATTTGTAGCTTTGCTGGGCAGGAACTGTACTGAAATGTGCTTAGCACAGCTGGAGCCTTTCATCACAGCTGTAAAAGAAACAATTAAAAATAACAGTTGTGCTCATCAGCAGTGTCCCATTGGCTTCCCTCACTGCTAATACTCACTCAGCTGCCTTTGATGGGGCCATTAGTCAAATCCCGCTCATCTTCTGAGCAGGTCACCCACAATAATGACTGCCCCATTACAAGAGATGGGGAAGATCCTTCCATCACTTCTGACACAACCTATTATTTTTTTTCCACCATTCTCTCAGCAGCAGCATGGACATCAAGGAATATTTCACCAGGATTTCTTACCAGGGCTCTTATGATAAGCCAGACCTGGCTACCTTGACTGATATATTCCAGCATCACATCCGAGCGGTCCCTTTTGAGAACCTCAGCATCCACTGCGGGGAAAGCATTGAGCTGGACCTGGAAGCGACTTACAACAAGATAGTGAGGAAAAACCGTGGGGGCTGGTGCATGGAAAACAACCACCTTTTATCTTGGGTCCTGAAAACCCTTGGCTACAATGTCACCCTCCTGGGATCAAAAGTTTATGTCCCAGAGTACGATGCATATGCAGATGAAATCGATCATCTGCTGCTAAAAGTGGTGCTTGATGAGAAACCTTTCATCGTGGATGGTGGGTTTGGGATGGCTTACCAGATGTGGCAGCCAATGGAGCTGATTTCAGGGACAGACCAGCCACAGACTCCTGGTGTCTTTCGCTTCCTGGAGGAGACTGGGGTCTGGTACCTTGAGAAGGTGAAGAGGAAGCAGTGGGTTCCCAACCAAAGCACCTCCGCTTCCCATAACATAGAAAAGGAAGTTTGCCGTCGGGTTTATCTCTTCACCCTTCAGCCGCGGGACATTGAAGAGTTCCGAGCCTGTAATGCCCACCTGCAGACAGCGCCTGACTCGCTGTTTGTGAAAAAGTCTATCTGCAGCCTGCAGACCTCGAACGGCATCAGGGCTCTGGTGGGATGGAAATTCACTGAGATAAAGTACAATTATAGGGATAATATGGATCTGGTGGAAATCAGAATCCTCACAGATGAAGAAATGGAGAAAACACTGAAAGATAAATTCAATGTAACACTAGACAAGAAATTTGTACCCATCAATACAAGCAGGTTGTCTCTATTTTAACTCACTGTCTGAATTATAATTCAACTCAATGGCATTACATGCAATCCCCCCCTGTTTCTGAGAAGCATTTAAATGTTAAGCTTTCTCTTTCCATCTACACCAGTGTAAGGCAGAACATGTTAGCACGAATCTGGAAATATATTTTTACAACTGCCCCTGCCTCTGTTTTTGGTTTGGGCACAAATAATTTCTTCCCAGCTCAATCAAATCACTCCCTTTCTGTTTGTGCTTATCTGCAAGCAGACTCTGCTCACCCCCCTATTCCTTTCATCTCGTAAAAGCTTTTCTAAATACATGCAGAGTAGCAGGGCAGAGCAATGGAGCTGTTATGTCTCTTTTTTTATTACTTTGTGCTGCCACCTGGGGAAACCATACCCACCTCTTTAAATGAATACCATATTACTTTTGGAATTTAATAGCCAGGAAAACAAAGACATCCAGTGCCAAGTCTGCTACACTTAAGCCATAAGCCAGTCCTTTTTGCTCTTGCATTCACAACACCCTCTCACACACCAGTTGGACAGTCCCATGCCTCTGCCACACTGTGTGAATACCTACGGACAGGCTGTTTATGTCCTAAAACTGATGAGAACCATGAGCAGACAATTGTCTGGTGTCAGACTTTACATGACTCCTGCTCCCTCAGCGTCATAACTGAAAAGCAGTATTTCTTTGAACTGAAAGCCACTCCCATGCGTTCTGTTTGCTGTCACCCAGCAGCAGCCTGCCGGGAGTAGATGCTCCTCTCAAAAGACTCCACTCTGAGTGTCATTGCACATTAATTATCATAGCTCAACATATTTTTCTGAATTATTTTTCCTGAATTATTTTCCTGAAACTCATCTGTTCTACTGAGGATGTGTTTGCAGTGATACCAATTATATTGATATGAGGAGAAATGATGAATCTTAATCAGATACCCAACAGCTAAGATTTTTAGCATGAGAAATCGCTCAGATGTGATCAGTGATCACTTTGACCTTTGAGAAGATGCTTGAAGTTCCTTTTAGTACAAATTGTGGAAGCGTTACAACTATGCAGTCATGATTAAGAAAATTATATAAGTAAATTACAATTAAATAAAAAAAATCAAGAATTATGTAGTAGAACTATTAAGTTGTTTTTTCCCCAAAATACAACATGTATTCCATAAAGTAAAAAATGTCATTAATCACCACAGTTGTCCTGATTATTTGTATGTGCTAATATTTTGAAGCTATGACTTTTAAAATACAGTAACTCACTGCTTCTTTTTACTTCTTATGCAATGTGTGATGCTTTCTATAACCAGCAGTTTATAGTTAATAAAAGCTGCTGCTATTCTGCATGTGCCTTGGGTGGCATGGTTTAGTGGGAGGTGTCCCTGCCCATGGCAGAGGGTTTGACCTAGATGATCTTAAGGTCCTTTCCAACCCTAATTATTCTGTGATTCTATGTCCAAAACCTACTTCATAGAGTCATGGTGAGCTCCCAAATCTCTGCCTTCCCAGAGGCAAACACATCCATGTGTGCAATAGTCCCCTATAGCAAGTGAGACTCCCCTATCCTATAGGGAAATGAAATGTTAGCTACTGACCCTGTAGTAGACTGCAGAAGAAAAGGGACTTCTTATAGTGTAGACCAGCAACTTGCAACAGATTGTTAGAGGAAACCAGGATCTGTCTTGTTTGCAATCCCCATATTAGTCAAAGAGGTAAAGGAGTTAAACTCAGTGGGTTTATCCTTGCATTAGCTTGGGGAAGAGCATCAGGAAGGAAGTAAAAGCCCAGCAGGGTCTCACAGAGGTGCAGGGCAGGAAAAAGCCTGTGCAGAACCAAAAATGTCCGTTGTTTGTGGGAACAGACATGGGAAACACCTAGAAAGGGCTGCACCCGTTCTTCTCCCTGTGCCTGGGTGTTTCTCATGCTTTGGGTTGTTTCATGGGCTCAGGGAAACGGTATAGAATCACAGAATTGTTTAGGTTGGAAAAGACCTTTAAGATCAGAGTAGGGTGTTATGTCCATCGCCCCAGATACTCAGCATGTGAAGGGCAAACAACAATGGGAAAACCCACTTTCCTTTCAGCTGGCTTATCTGGAGCCTCTGTGCCTGCTCTGGTTGCTCTGGCTGTTGCCTGCTTCATGGCACAGCTAAATGCCTCTGGCCCTCCTGCTCAGCACACCCACGGAAGCAGATTTTATTGCTGAGTAATTGAATGAAGCTCTCTGTTGGACATTAAAAACAAGAGGCTTTTCATCTCAGAGTGCAGTGGTTTGCTTTTTCCCTATCACTAACTTTGGAGACAAACACTTAAAGGCATAGGAGGCTCAGGGAGCACAGGGTTCTCCAGGAGCAGCATCCCTGCTGCCAAAGGACAGGGCCTCTCTGAACCCAAAGGAACATAGCTAAATGACTTGGCAAATCTGACCTTGTTGTTTTGGGGGTCTGGTGTCATTCACAAAGAATAGCTCAGTGCAGTGTGATTAACTCAACGGTTGCCATCTCCCACCAGTAAATCAGTGACATCCTGGCTTGGATGACTGTCTTCCTATCTAAGTCACTTCCTACAGGTTTCCAGGCCACACGAGTGTCAACAATGTAAAATCTGCATCAAAATTCGCACTATTGTTTTGCTGCTTCAGCGTGGGGTCAACCATTGAGGTGCCCCAGAGATTGACGCACCTGGTTGACCTGTGGGGTTGAGGATGGGGTTATAATTGCTTACAGAAGTTGCTGGATAGACCCATACTGTATTTCTCCTTTGCACTCCTGAAGGGCTTCAATTCTTAATCAGTAACATGGGAGGTTAAAATTTGCTCAATACTGTAAGCAATTTGGGGACTGGGTAATTTTTAGGATCTGTGTACAGCACCTAACTCAATGAATTGCATGACAGGGCTTTCTAGGCATATGCCAAAACAAATAAATCAATTAAATCATCACAATATAAACTATTAGGAAAGAAGAAACCCTTCCTCCTATTTTCCTGCTCTGCTAGAGGATAGGGCTGTCCTTGCAGGCAATAAAGGCAGCCTGGACCTTTAAAAGCAGCAGCTCCAGGAACAACTCTTCCTGGGAACTTTGGAGCAAACCAGGGCAGCAAGGCTGAGCTCGCTGGCAGAGAGGTAAGTGCTCGGGTGTCTGATCTTTAACTTTATCCTCCAGCTGCAGGTCAGCCTGTTTGGAAAAGCCCACCCCTGTGGGTCTGCATACCATGTGCTTAGCACTGGAGGCATATTAGCAAAGTATAAATTACAGCAACTCTAGGGCTGACAAGCATGCGTTGCATTATAAGGACGGTGTCCAAGTGCAAAGATCAGTTCCTGGAGACTTAAACTAACCCCTTTATGCTGAGCCACAGTGTATGAAAAACCCAGCTGCGGGCTCACAGAGTAGCTTAAAATCAGATGAATGGTATAGGCATGTGCAAGAGGATCCAACCTTGGAAGGCTCTCATGAATTTTAGCAGGGAACTGTTCCTGATATTCAGCCTAATTCTGAAAGGAAAGTACTCCCCAGCTATGCTTGCAGACAGGCAGAACCCACGCCTGAATGTTACTACCCACCAACCTGCACGAATGCTGAGTGAAGCTTGGCTGTTGCAGGAGCAAAAGCAAACAAGGCTGAGAGCCGGAATGAGGCTTAAGATATTTGGCAGCTTGGTTTTGGAATACAAACTGTCCTGAGTGAGGGCTTGCTCGCTGCTGCAGCCCTATCACTACCAAGACAGGAATGATTGTGCAGAGAGGAAAAGCTGCCTGTGGCAAGGCAAGGGAGTAAAGAGATTTATGTGAATGCTCCCCAACACCAATAGTTTTGTACTGCAGGCTTATTATACTTCAACCTCTGTTAGTATTCATTGAAATCAGAGCCCATTTTGTCAGCCACCACGAGGCTGTCTCTGCTATACAGGCTTTAAATAGATGAGGCCAGATAAGGGACAGATGGGGAAACTGAGGCATGGGCTGAGCATTTCCCAAAGTATGTTTTCCCAAAGCCTCATTGACAGTGCCCTGTGGAAGCTCTTGATGGGGAGGTTGTGATGGCTGGAAGTGGGGAGCTGGTTATTCACTGCTGGGGCGATGGGGACACTCAACCCCAGGAGACATGTTGCAGGGAAGGCATCAGGTCTTCTGCTGCTGGCCCAGAGCAGGGACAGCGTATCAGACCCACCAGGCTAACGGACTCACTTGAGCTCCTCCTGGTCAGAGGCTCAGCTTGACACTATCTCAGGGAACAGATGTTTCTATCAGGCTATTCAAAATGGCTAGAAGTGGGAATAGAAAAGAAAATGGGGACCACATGATGAGCTTGCTACTGTACATGTTTGCTGTCTGTTGGGGAGGGAATGGCTTTGTACAACCAATGTTTCCAAGGAGAGCCTGCCCTTGTAAAAAAAGTATGGAAAAAAAACATAAACTGCACTATCAAAGACATATTGTTGTTTTTCTGTGTAAACTGTTTGCGTTCTTTTGAAGAGATGATGTTTATTTCTTATTGTTTTATCAGGATTGTCTTCTATTCTGTTACTTTTTCCCATGATTTTGCATCAGCCAGTCTGAGTTCTGTACCAGTGCAGGTCTGGAGCAATACAACTAAGTCAAGTGAGTTGTGCTGATGGCATTAAAACTGGGGTTAAAGTCTAGAGGTTAGGTCATTTGATGTGCTTATCTGCTGGGTTGGAGGTATTTCCACCTATGTATTTGAGATAGGATTTTTAAGAGCTCCTGGAACTTGCTTGAGTGCTGGCATGGACATCAGGTCAAACTGCTGGTCACTCCTAGGGGAGCAGTTGGACCAAAGCTGAGAACAGTTTCTGGAAATCTCCCATCTTATCTACATCAAATGATTTTTGGAAAATCCTCCCAGGGAACGTATCACAAATTTCAAGGAGCGAGAAATCATAGAATCATAGAATGGTTTGGGTTGGAAAGCACTTTTAGTTCCACCTCCCTTGCCGTAGGCAGGGACACCTCACACTAAACCATATCACCCAAGGATCTGTCCAACCTGGCCTTGAACACTGCCAGGGATGGAGCATTCACAACTTCCTTGGGCAACCCATTCCAGCGTCTCACCACCCTTACAGTAAAGAACTTCTTCCTTATGACTAACCTAAATCTCCCCTGTTTAAGTTTAAGCCCATCACCGCTTGTCCTATCGCTACAGTCGCTGATGGAGAGTCCCTCTCTGGCACCCTTGTAGGAAGCCTGCTATGAGGTCTCAGACTTTCTGGAAATTAATACAGTCCTTAGCAAATTATGAATGATTCTGGAAAACAAATATGCTTGCATGGAAAAAAAGCAATATTAAATCTAAATTAAAGGCAAAAGAAATCCTTGCACATACCGGGTGAGTCAGAGGATTAGAAGTGTTACAGGGAACCTTTTGCATCTTGGCCTTGGAGCCTGTATGTAGCCAATGACAATCTCTTTTGGCTAATAAAAGAAAAGGGGTTCAGAGACATGAAGACATAAAACATATCTAATAAATTGAACTGAAACTAGGGGGTTTGGTTTGTAAAACATGGCAAAAGAAACCAAAAGCTGATGAATATACCTTGAATGTGTTCTTAGTAATTATCAATTCATCTGACCCCTAGGTTAGGAAAATTAACAATTCCTTCCTTTCAACAGCCAGGGTCAAAGCTCTGTCTGAACTCCACAGGGTAACTAAAGAGATTAAGAAAACAACAGTCTGCTTCACATAGAAGCCTGTCTAAAATGGTGACACACTGAGATGTTAATCCCAGCTAGCTGAAGCCATGAACGTAAAACTTCCAAACTAAATTACCTGTGGGATAAACAAAGAATTGCTTACCTATTACAGTAAAAGAAACAGCAAGAAATTGCTGTGACTTTCGTGCTGTTATGGTCCAGCAGTTTTTCTGCAAAGCTGTTTTTTATCCTTTTTATATTTTTTTTTGTCATGTGGGACCCCCATCCAGGGCCAGAGATTCTATTGTGCCATGTGCCATGTCTTCCCATAGGAAAGACATCCACCTGTGTTGAAGACAACATCTGAGAGAGAGAAAGCATTATTGTCACCTGCTCCTATGCTCATCTCTTTTTTAATACAGATGACACAGGCAGATCCAGCCTGCTTTCATCTATCAAGGGCACAGGTTTCTTTCAAATCCTCAATGAAACAGCCTAGACTGCATTTGCAGACTGGTTAACCTATGCTACGGTAATAGGAGTGAGCCCCTTGACAGCCACACAACAGTAATTGCCTATTTTTCTACTCACACAGGCAAAATGAACATTCAAGAGTATTTTGCAAGGATTTCTTACAATGAGTCCCATAAGGATGCAGACTTGCAAACCTTAACAGTCATTTTCCAGCATCACATCCGGGCAATTCCTTTCGAAAACCTCAGCATGCATTGTGGGGAGACCGTCGAACTGGATTTACAAGCTATTTACAATAAGATTGTGAGAAAGAAACGTGGTGGATGGTGCCTGGAAACCAATTACCTTTTATTCTGGGCCTTGGAAGAACTAGGGTTTGATGTCTGTATTCTCGGAGGAAATAGTTACGAACCAGCAGAGAGAGCATATACTGCTGAGATAAATCATATCCTACTGAAGGTGGTGATCAAGGGAAACTCCTACATAGTAGATGCTGGTTTTGGTGGTGCCTACCAGTCATGGCAGCCCTTGATACTGATTTCCGGGAAAGATCAGCCCCAGACCCCTGGCATCTTCCGCTTCACTGAAGACAATGGCACCTGGTACTTTGAGAAAGTCAAAAGGAAGCATTATATTCCTGAGCAAAGTGAGCCTGCCACTGGTACTCCAGAACCAGGAAATATCAGAAAAATGTATACATTCACGCTTCAGCCACGAGATATAAATGACTTTCAGGAGCTAAACACTAATCTACAAGTGTCTCTAGATAACATACTTCGGAAGAAGTCAATCTGCAGTCTCCAGACCCCTGAAGGGGTTTATGCCTTAGTTGGATGGACCTTCACTGAGGTGAAGTATAACTACATGGAGGATATGGACCTGGTGCAGATCACAACTCATACAGATGAAGAGGTTGACAAGATACTGAAAGACAAATTCAGTATAGTGCTGGAGAACAAACTCGCACCAGTAAATGTTCGTGGCTTGCCACCTAATTTAGTGGATACAATTTAATCCTAATGCTGTTCTAGATGGATCTTTATGTAGCCAATATAAAAAGTTCCAAATTAACATTAATGGCGTTTAATCTGATTCTAAAGTTGAGCTAGTCAGGTGGACACAAAGCTTGGTAAATTCAAGTATATTGCTAATTAACTGCATACACAAATCGCATGTTTTATCTTAAGCTACTCCTTTAGAAACTGAGATACCTTACTACCTCTAATTTTCCCATATGGAAATAGACTTTTGACTCCGTAACATTTTGTTCCACCTCTCTGGATTTGCTTTTATTTCAGACGTGTTTTGTGGCAAAGAAAACCGAAACGATACAGAAGGAACAGCTGTGTTACCATTTTACACAAAAGACCTCTAATCTTTTCTTGGTATTATTTCCAATCTTCTTCTCAGCAGAGTTTTAAGAATTGTTCACTTCCTTTAATAGGCTGAAATGAAACTTGAGCTGAATTTGGCTTTCAGAGACTTCATAAAAAAAAAAAAAGAAGGATTAAGACCTTCTCAAAACAAGCCACTATTAGGTGCTGATTAGCTTGTGATGAAATAAGTTGAAAGACTTGAGTCCTATTCCCTTACCAGAAATTGACTTAAAGTGAGCTGTTTATGTGAGTGCACTTAAAAAATCCCAAAAGCTCTCTAATTTTTCTGATTCTGATTTTTCTGTGTCTCTGAAACAAAATCAATAGAAGATGAGATGATTCAACAGTTCTTAAAAAACAGGCTTTTGGTAGCCAAAATGGAAATAATCAAAGTTAGATCAACCTTTGTAAACTATAATCTAAACTTCTGGGGCCTAACCTTCCTATTATGTCAAGCAGAGATGACAGCACTACAGATAAAACTCTTCATATTTATTCTAAACATCATTCTGCACAAAAGCTACCTGAATTAAGTAATACTGCAGATGAAAAACAAAACAATGGTAAGTCAGAACATGCCACTGGTGTGGTTTCACAAAAAACTTTTTACCTTTACGAGACTTGTGGCAGGTACCGTATGGGATGTATTATTGAAGAGGGTGACAGGAGAGCATCAGTCCTTGGCCAAGAAAAAGACTTTGACGCTTGTATTAGTCAACCACACAGACTCATGGGGCACCTGATGTGCCTAGATTGCTCGTGCTTTCCCAGATAAAGTCTGATGCGCTCTCTGACTTTCCGAAAGGGACCTCTGACTTCCCACCACCATCAGATGGAGAGCAGACATGTTCGACAGGAAGAGAACTAAATAAACAGCTCTGCAGCACTTTGAAGATGCAGAAGACCAAGTTTCAGAGAGGAAAGGCATTACTTTGTGCAAATTAGTATTTGCCATGGAATTTGTTACACGTGGCAGCTCCAAAATAACTCCCTGCTGCAGCTGAAGCTTTGAGCAGATAGCAAAAATTCCTTTGTGGGCAAAGAAGGGTCATTTTGTGCATCTGTGGAGCATGGGAACATGCAGCCTGCAACACCATGGCAGTGTACTTGCAAGGAAGCAGATGATTGTCCTCCACCACAATGTGCTGGCTTCTGAAACAACAATAATTTAATTTAAAAAAGTTACAGACCCATTTGCAACTATCTATTGCAGTTAGTTTACATGGAAAACAAGTTCATTCTGGTCTTCACTGGGGGAAACATAAACATCTATTAAGAGGAAAGAAACAAAGTTTAATTTGCTCATGGATCAGTGAAGTCCAAAAATGCACTTTCTCAGCATTTACGATTCAGGAGTAAGGGCCAGCGGAGCTTAGAAGAAGACAACCCTCTCAATTTGTACCCACTCCTGGCTTTACTGACTGCTGCTTCAGCAATAAACAACACAGAAGCTGAAGACCTTGATAAATAAATAAGGCTATCTTAAGAGGTAAGTTTATTTTCTTAAAGAAACCTCCAATAAAAAGAAAACCTAGTTTCTTTATGATAGTAAAGGTTGTGGGCAATAAGATAAGTAATATTCTCTTTAGGAAAAATACATAGAAATGTGTGCATATAGAGTGAAAATATTATCTGCTAAGCATGGGCTCTTAAAGAGGGTAAATCAGTTATAACGCAGTTTCAATTCCTTCATTTCTCGCTCTTCAGGAGGAGATTCATTTGACTGAGATTCTTTTGTTTAGATACAATAGTAGATACAAATTTAGAAATAGAACCTTTTGTTGGAAGTTATTATTTTAGATTTCTAACTTTTTCTAATTATTGCGCATGCAAAGGAAGCAAAAGAGCAATCTAATAGTAGATACTTTATTTGGAATAAAATCACAGTCCTCTAAAAACAACTTAAAAACAATTACAAACTGGTTGCTGTACCCCAGAAAATCCATGTGCTGATGTATTAGGATAAAGGTAGACAGATAATGTATTTTAACAGTGGAGTTGCTGATAGTGTGCATAGTACTGGTAAGGAATATTTTTACAAGAGTACCTTCATTTGCACATTTAGAAATAGTTCTTTAAAGTTCTTCTGCTGATGTTTTTCTCTGCATAAATCACAGCCACATTTGTGGGATTACCTTTTCAGTATCTAGTTTTTCATCTGCTCAAAATTCAAAAGAATAGTAGCTCTTATTTCGTACCGTCAAGATCTACAGCTGATCAATCCTATTACGGAACCACAGAGAGAAATTATAAATAAGATAAACTTGAAAACCAGCCTTATGTTGGTGTGATTTATTCAGCATTCACAATTTGAGCAGGCAGAATTGGATAGACTTGGATTCTGCAAATCAAAAGAAAAAAGTGCCATGAGTCTTACATTATGCTTAAGAAATATTACACTGAGAATATCCTCCAACAATACACTTAAGTTTCAGTGTAAGCTCAATTCCTCTCTGTAGAAAGGTTTTTGATGGGGCTTTCTATCACCTTTGTACAGCTGCTTCTATACCGTGCATATGCATATCATGAATCTGACCCTGAAAATCATCTTGAGAAATTCAAGCTTGCAGTAAACGTTCAGCAGCTCACTACTGAATTTATCCAAATACAAGTCTTCCTGAGTTGCTAATATTAAGTGTCTAAATCTCAGCTTACTTTATGCACAAAAGATTTCCAAGTAGCTTTGTGGGTTGTCTAGAAGTTAAGTATTTGTAGTAACTCTAGACTGTTGAAACACTTAGTGCCATCTTTGTGAAGGTTCAAGCCTTCAAAACTTTTTTGTGCCCAGCTCCATATCCAAGCAGACAACCCACAGTGTGTTGTACAAAGAGCATCAGGTACCTACAAAGCATCCTGCTCATAACTTTGGCCAGCAGTGATGGGCCATTGCGAAAGCCAGATGACTATATGTGACTTGCTAGGGTATTAGAAGGCAAAAAGTACTTTCTCATGCAGCGATCTTGCTCATGAGGAGTCCTATCGAGACAGTGCATTGCTGGAGGCAGGACAGACGGGATGCACTGTATGAGGCTCCGGCAATTCTCACGCCTGAAAAGGAAGGAGTTTTGAGAAAGGCCAGGGCTAGAGAGATGTAAAGCAGCTCCTGTTCATTTTCAGGACACCCTGCGAGACGCAGGGCACAGCGGAGAATAGAGATGTGCTCTTTGTCTTTTAGGTCAGTCACCTCCTTTCAGATTAATTATTCCAACACCAAAATGAGTTTGTGCAACACTCAGAGCAGAAAAGAGACTCGGTGGTCTGTGGCTTTTGTGAAGGCCAGAGGTTTTTTTCAGTTATAATTATCTGAATAAAACTCGACACTTTACAAAATGTGCAGGGAGTATCATTCTCGCTTCTTGTAATTGGAGAAAGAGTGACATGTACCGAATGAGCAATTCATTTACCATCAGTGAATCAGTGGCAGACTCATGAAAAGAACATGTGAATCCTGGCTCAAATTATCCTCCCTCCGACTGGCAGGTAACACTGCTTCCCCCATTGACACTCCTTTCACTGAACAATGGATTTAGACTGATTTTCATGAACCTTCCTGAACACTCCCTAGTGTGATCTTACCTTTCTTCTCAACCCCTCTGTTACAATGCAAATGCAGCAAATCCCCATTTTGTAGCATATCAAGCTGAAACTGCATTGGCTCCTTGCCATAGGAATGACTCAAAGACAAACAGAAAACCCTCATATGTGCTGCTTTTCTTGCTGGGGGAACCTTTTGATATGAATACTTGTTACCCTTAAAAACCGCTCCATTGAGGTTCAGTACATTAAAGCATCTTTGCTGGCAGCAGCTTGGGCAGTTTTTCACAGCATCATACGTCACTGATGTAAAGAAACAAACCCAAAAAAACAATTCCTTCTTTTACAGGTGACATGAACCTTGAAGAGTATTTTGCAAGAACTGGCTATAAAGGTTCTCTTGAAAAACAAGATTTGGAAACCTTAACCGATATATTCCAGCATCACATCCGTGCTGTTCCCTTTGAAAACCTCAGCATCCACTGTGGGGAGAAAATTACTTTGGAGTTGGAGCATGTGTATAACAAACTTGTGCGGAGGAAGAGGGGTGGCTGGTGCATGGAAAACAACCAGCTATTGGGCTGGGTCCTGAAACATCTGGGGTATGACACCAGCTTTCTGGGAGCATATGTGTTCAATCCACACCAAAACGCGTATGCCACCCTCATGACCCATCTCCTTGTAAAAGTAGTTATTGATGGCAAAGCCTATATTGTTGATGGAGGCTTCGGTGTATCCTATCAGATGTGGCAGCCGATGGAGCTGGTTTCGGGAAAAGACCAGCCCCAGGCTCCCGGCGTCTTTCGCTTCACAGAGAAAAATGCCATCTGGTACCTCGAGAAAATGAGACGGAAACAATATATCCCAAATCAAAGCTTCTCTAACTCCGATCTTCTGGAGAAAAAAGACTGTCGGAAAGTTTACATGTTCAGCCTCGAGCCACGGACAGTGGAAGATTTCCGTTTCCAGTGCACGTACCTTCAGACCTCTCCAGACTCCCTCTTTACGAAGAAGTCCATCTGCACCCTCCAGACCACTGATGGCTTTCGAGCGCTAATTGGGTGGACACTCACTGAGACCACATACAACTACAAGGAAAACATGGATCTGGTGGAATTTGTAACTCTTGAAGGTGAAGAAGTGGAAAAAACCCTCAAGGAGAAATTCAACATAACCCTCGATAGGAAACTTGTCCCAGTTAATGTCAAAGGATTTTACACAATCTAGGTGACCAGGAAAACCTACGCTAATGCTATGTATATACAATACCTCCCACTGTCTGCGCAATCACTACTGAAAATCATGGGATTCTTTGCAGGCAATTGAAGGAAAAATACATTAATATGAGATTAAAGTGAATTTTGCTCTGGGAAAAATCAGTCAGGTAGATAAAAAAATAATCTTAAATCAGGTAGATAGAATTATCTGTTGTGAGATGACTGCATTCAATTTTAGGCACAAACGTAGGATCTCATTTGAATTTGCTTATAAACTTGAGTGAGAAATATGTCTGGGGAATTTTGGAGTGCCTATAGCACATAAATAGAACTATGGATTATTAATTGTGATATGCTGCCAACACATTTTCTATGGTTATTATAGGGAGAAAAGTAATCTGTGACCATTTAGACAATGAAGTACACATTTAGAACTTCATTTTTCACAGGATGTAACCACTTGCAGTTCATCTCACTTCTCTACCTTTAATATAAGTAAAACAATGTCATCCTTGAAAGGAGCATTAGGAGCCATAATTCTTTCACCATCACCCTTAGACAAAACATAGTACAAAATGAAAATTACCATCATGTGCATTCCTTTTGCCATTACTGCAGTAAACTGCTCAAAGTAATTTTTGGTATGTATGTATTTTTCTGGTGATGAAAACTGAATATACTGCAGCATTATTGTGGCTGATGGGCTCTGAGGAGATGCCTATAAGCTCTGCTTCTGACAAGTAATCATCCTTTAAAAGGTGAACAAGGCTTAAATGTCACAACTGGCTTAGATTTACTTCTGCCTTGAAGGGTTGGAAAATTGGTATTTTTAGCATTGCA